TAATTGTTACATATCTTTATTGTATTTTAAATGCTGTAAGCCGCCCAGAGACCTTCGGGTAGTGTGGGCGGCATATAAAATAAATAGATAGATAGATAGATAGAAAGATAGAAAGATAGAAAGATAGAAAGATAAGATAAGATAAGATAAGATAAGATAAGATAAGATAAGATAAGATAATCCACGGGAAAGCAAGGTTAATAGTTTAGGTGGAGACAGTGGCATCAAAGTGACTTAGAAGATCACATTTGTATTACTTGAACTATTTGAATTGGTAAAATGAATCAGTTGTTACAGAAATAGAGCTTTTTGTTGTATAAACCTATACATAGATGATACGAATAGCTAAAACATTCCCAGATAAAAATGGCTTCATCTGTTAAACAGATTAAGAACATTTTAGCATAAAACTCCACCTTCAGTCACAAAACGGTTATTTCAGAAGACAATGTTTAAAAACCTAGAAAAATATGTAGTTTAACACCTGTGCAAAACAAACAAACCTTCGGTAAGCATTGTCACCTGATCCAGTTCTTCATTTTGATACCAAGTTGCATAGATGTGTTTTATTATTTTGGATCTTACAAATCCTGAGAAGTTAGTTAAGAAATAAATGAGTTATGGTAAGTTACTAGTTGATTCTGTAGGATGGCAGGAGAGATGTTTCCTAGAGATGTTCTTAAATTCAGGCAGGCGTTAGCATTTTATTAGCATTGGCTTTGTACACTCAGTATTGACTGTAGCCTGGGACCAATTTGGTCCTTTGGTAGTGAGAACTTTATCCTTTGAGGACTCATGTTCACAGATCTGTTGCCTTTCCCAATTATTTGCTAAGTATTCTAAGGAAGTGAATTGTTTATTTGTGTTCCTTGACTTTCATATTGTTTCTGTAGCACTATGCCATGTACAAAACATTTTGTGGAATTCTTATTCAGCCTGCTTTTCAAAACAACTTTTCGTCTTTAGATCTTAAAGCTAAGATTGTCACTGTTAAAAATTCAGGGAAGTGTCTCTGTGTGTGAGTAATCAGGGCTATACAGTATGTTGCTGCCCAAGACAAAAGTTACAGTCATCCAGATTATTCCCTGCACCCACCAGCTGGGTGGAGTGAAATTGCGCTGCCAAGCCGTTAAGGATCTCCTTCAACATTTTTGTTGGGAAGGCAGTGAGAATTAGTTTTCTAGTGATTTTCAAAAAAAATCAGTTTTAAGGACATTTTAAAGCATTTTTAAAAAGCAATTTAACTTTCTCAGCGTTGCAGCAAGTAATGAGAGTGAGTTACTTTTTAAATACCATCATAGGAACAAATTATTTTTTAAAAATAATATTAAATTACAGTCAGGCAAACACATTAATATAAGCTGATCATCTGTTGCTTCCTCAACCACCATATCTCTTGCTGTCTACCGGATATATTTTTGTATCTAGATAAAGCAGCAAGATTCCCTGACCATTGAATGATGGATAGTCTTTGTTTTTCTGATGCATGACACATTACCCAAATTATGAGAACAGAGTGCTTAACCTAGATAAAGTATGACTATTATTCATAAAAACTAAAGTTGTATCCAGTTGACACCTTCTGCTGACAAAAGATCTTCCATCCACTGAACAGGGATGGGGCAGTTTCTCCCTCCACCACACCCTATTAACCTTCAGGGATCTGAAGCAAGGATGAATGAGAGTTGAGTCCAAGAGGAGACATTATGTGAGCGGACATTGTCTTTCTTAGAATGACTGCAGAAATGGAAGTGGTATTGCAGAAGACAAAATCTGGTGGTTTTAATAGAACTGGGAGCCACACAGAATCTGACTGGGCCCAAGAATTCTTACTGGCATAGCAGCCAGTAATTTTTAAATATTAATTGAGATGACATCCTTCCCTAGGCATTAATTGCTGTTATTGTGTTGGAATGACACAATGTAGTGTTTATTCTCTGCTTTAAAGATCAGGTTATTGATTTTGATTTAATTGACTGTAAACAGCTGCCTCTCCTAAATTTTGGTTTTTAATGCTGTTATTTTGGATGACTGCTCCTTAAATTAGAAAAAAAGTCTATAAAACTCCAATAAAATATTTAAATGTAGAACACAGAGAAGGGTCAGACAGATAAAGGGGCAAGGTTTTGCACAAAGCACCATATTGTAGCATCCTTTTCATTCCGCCATCCCTAGTTCAGTTTGCTATATTTCTAAAACTATTGTTGTTATGTACCATCAAGTATAGTGAACCTAATAGGGTTTTCAAGGTAAATGAGATATTTAAGGAGTGGCTTTACCAGTTTCCCATCCCCAGTGAGTTTCCATGTTAGAGCCCAGGTCTCCTGAGTCCCTGTCCATTACTCTCTCCCCACTGGGTAGTCTTCTAAAACTATGCAGTACAACAAATAAAATAAATAACAATATTTTTCATGATACTTTTGTGCTGCTGTTACAGGTGGTGAGCCAGTGCCTGTCTACTATACCTTCACGAAGTCAGTGCATAGATATTATGCAAACTGGCATTTGCAAATACCTGGTAGGTGGTAATTTTGAATATATTCCATGCTTTTTATTTCCTGCATTTCCTTTAAAAAATGAAGCTTATGATACAAATATTTCAAAATTAACATAACATTAATTGAAATATAATGGTAAAGTTACTCACCTCATTGACAACAGTTTGGAGTTATGTTTAGTAGGACTCAAATGTATCCTGTTTCTATACTTTAATAGTCTAAATAGCAGATTATTTTAAAATTACTTTGAATTCTATTATTTATTTTAATCTGATAATCTATTTAATACTGTTTTAATATTGCAGTTTAGTTGGACCTTTGTTTTTTTGGAAGATGGATTTCTTTTTTACACTAGTGTTCTAAGGTGCCTTGAATCCCACAAGGTAAAAAGGTGCGATATGTAAACAAAATGGGGGGTAAAGCACATTATCATGAGCCTGTCTCCCAAGCCGTTGGGTGCTGTATATCACCCTACCCATATAATAGTAAGGACATATGAAGAGCCCTGCTGGATCAGGGCAAGGGCCCATCTAGTCCAGCTTCCTGTATCTCACAGTGGCCTCACCAGATGCCTCTGGGAAGGGCACGAGACAACTAGAGACCTGTCTCTTGATACCACTCCCCTGGATCTGGCATTTTGAAGTACTTACCTTTTAAACCTGGAGATTATACATCCCCATCATGGCTTCTAACCTGCAATAGACTTTTCCTCCAGGAATCTTTCCAATCCTCTTGTAAAGGCATGTAGGGCAGATGCCATCACCACATCCTGTGGCAAGGAGTTCCACAGATTAACAACATGCTGGGTCAAGACATATTTTCTTTGGTCTTTTCTCACTCTCCCAACTCTCAATTTGAGTGGATGTCTCCTGGTTCTGGTATTGTGTGAGAGGGAAAAGAGTTTCCCTCTAGCCAATTTATCCATCCCCTGCATAATTTTACACATCTCAATCATGTCCCCTCTCAAGCACTTTTTCTCCAGACTAAAGAGCCCCAAACGCCATAGGCTTTCCTCATAAGGGAACTCTTCTGTCATATTATAAACCTGAGCCTTCAACTTGAATGTTCAGTATGAGTAACGGCTATAGTGCATCTCACCCTCCAAGGGAAAATCATAAAATCTGGTATCTTGAAAGGCATCTGAAGTTCTTACTGGAATTGCTCTCTTAGAACACAAATACAGACCTATGACAGAAATGAGATGCTGTGTGAAATATAATTAATTTGTTTTGTCTCCTAGGTAGGATTGACTGTAATACCTGATAGCACTGCTGGATCTGTTTTGTGTGCCATTAGTAGGCTTATGGATCAAGGGTGCCTCCTTAATGAACATCTCTACAAGTTCCTAGCTTCTTTGTGTTACAGTCTTCTTTACCTCCTCTTAACAATAGAGAGAGAGGATACAGAACACTTACAGAAGAGGTAATCTTGGACTCTTAAAGTACCTGTGTGTTAAAGCCTAAGGAGAGGTAGTTACAAGTTTAGATTTGATTACTATAGTTGAGAAATAGGCTAGTTGTCAATAGTCACCTTAATCTTTGCATTTAAACTGTGGCTTCATTAATTTTTCCTGTTCTGGAACTTCAAATATCACCGTTTTGAATGTTACCATTTTAAGAGATTAGTGCTTATAGTCTGTCCTCTTAACTCACTGGAATATTCCTCTAAAAACAATGTGGTATTTTTAAAATTGATTCCAGCCTCAAGTAGGCTAAAGGTAAACTTGCAAACAATATTTACTTCTGCACATAGAATTCATTTTAATGGTTTTCCTGCCCCCATAATGGAAAACTGAATCAATCTTTCAAGCATTTGCTATACTGGAAGCTTGAACTTGATCAAAGGCTTTTTTGTGTACATTTATCAACCAGTTTGAAATTGCAGATCACTTAATAGACAGTTCAGTTATGAATGGTTCTCTAACAAAAAGACCATCTTCTCCCTTTTAACAGTAGTTCAATATTAAGAATAGCTGGGATTTAAAAAACCCAGGAAACTAATTGGTATGCAATGCCAGTCTCCAAATGCTTCTTCAAGTGATCCTGTGCACTAGATTTTTTTTATTTGTCTTGTACATTCCTATGGTTTTTCTAGAAGAAATCTTAGTCTTTTTTCCCCCCCTTGTGCTATAGAGAAGTTTACTGAGAAAGTAAAAATAACTTCAGGATACACATATGCATTTAATTCCCCCTATTCATAGTTTCTTATGCTTTTTTTAAAAACAGGGACATATTGTGGGGTTCCTGTATTTCGGTGCTAACTACAGTACCACGTATATTGAGGCTGATGTTGCAGAGTCTTCAGGTGAACAGAGTTTGTCGTGAAGAACTGCCTGTCCTTGCACAGCTCCTTCGTTTGCTAATGCAACACGGACAGCTTCGGAACCATATGGTGAACAATGAGTTTCTGGTGAAACAGATTGTCAAAGATATCCTGGTAAGATGTCATTTTCAGTCACTGAATGCTGAAGCTTGATTGTGACAAACATGCATCCTCTGAAGAACAAGGCCAACTTTATTTTTCTTCCATTGATCTCCTAAATTATACAGTGGTATGCCTCTCTTATAGACTTAAGCTTGGAAAGCATTTATGAGTATTTTCCAGATATAATTATCACTGCAAACCATTGCCTCCCAGCTCCAGTGGATGAAGTTTGTTATGTTCTCTGCTTCTAGTTCAGTTAATTTAACTGAACTATTATTCAGTTAAATTAAGAGCAGTATACATGTCCTATGGACCTGATGGCTTGGAGTGGAAATAGGGAGAGACGGAATTTTAAAAATATTTATTTGCAAGATATTTTGCATTCTCAGGAGCTTCTAGAACCACCCCCTCTCATTCCCTGTTGATTAGTATGTTGAGATGGAGAGTAAAAGCCATCTTTTTTATGCTGTTTTATGCTTGCATCAGGGAAATCTTGGCAGCAAATGTTAGTCATTAATAAAGTGCTGGGTATATGGCCAATTAGACAACCAGGCATGTACCTAGAAATGAAAGTAGCACTGTTTAATGAATGGTAATTTGCCACCAGGAGTTAAACAGTTTCTCTTACACAACTGTAAAATAGCAGTAGGATTCTGACTAATCAACTAGAAAATGAAAGGAATGATCTGGTATATATTTTAATTACTTTGAAAAGTGGATTACAGTGCAATTGAAGTGGTAGAACACTCTTGTTACAGGCTCCTACAGGAGAGATGCACTATCCTAATAAATAAAAAGCTTATTTCTTTGTGATTGCTGTAGTCTAAATTTAAAAAGTGCATATTGTATGATTGGGAAAGGTTTCTGTTTATTGAAGGGATGAGGTGGGCAACTCTGGAGGATTTGAGAGTTATATTTGCCTCTTTTTGCAAAATTAGACATGAATTAGAGACCGTTTTGGACTTAGAAGGAAGGTTTGTGTATGTATGAGAGAGGATGAGAGAGAGAGAGAGAGAGAAGTGAATGGATTTTAACTGGAGTCAATGAAAGACCCACACGGCATGGAGGTTTCTGGGTGTTCTGGTTGTAAATTTGGAATCCTTGTTTCTGATTATAGGTCTTTGAAGGCTCCAGAAATGATATATAAAATTCCCACCCCATTTTAAAGGATAAGTTCCCCCTGAAACAAAGCAATAATAGGCAATACATCTTTTAGACCAAAATATCACATGGAGTGGGAGTATTCAAGCCCTGGAGGATACTTCATCAACCTGGGCATTGGAAAGCTAACAATGGGATGGGAAAAAACAGAAAAGTCTAAAAGCCAACCTGACTAAATTTTTTAAAAAAGGATTCCTGCATTGAGCAGGGGTTTGGAATTGATGGCCAATTGCTATTTTATATATTAAATAGTTCATTATTGGTGTGATTATGACAAATTAACCTTCTGGATACATGTTTTTAGATGCCTTATTAAATGAAAATCACAGTAGATTTGGCATAATTATATACCCCCTGCAGTCCTCAGTACAGAATTACATATAATATTTATATTAAAAGAGTCTCTTGGAATATTTACTTGAGCACACACCTAGAAACACAACCAGCACTTTTTAATAAGTGGCACTTTGCCACCGAGAGTCCCCTTTTACAATCATCTTGTTTACTGTTTTTAGTGTGGTAGTAGTTTGATTGAAAAATATTTGTATACTTACTGTTTTTACCTTTTAAATATTGTGTTTTAATGATGGGCCTTGGGTCCTTCTTGAGGAGTAAGGCAGGGTAAAAATATTTTAAACAAAACAACCAGACAGACAATAAGACTCTAATTAATCAATCTGAAAACAAAGCTTAGTGATCTGTGATCTGTTCACTTGAATATGAATTAGCACATTTCCTTTTTTAGCAATACTCCAATCAAATGAAAAGTCCAAGCACAAACAACACTGTTTTATTTCCTTAGGCCCTGAAGAGTGGAGAAGCTCAAGAGCAATGGCTGACAGACCTCCATTATTATTTCAACCTATATATGGCCACACATCCCCCTGGATCTGGGGTACCAAACGCAGTATATTAAAGAAGACAGTTCCAGTTAGCTGAAAATGTTTTGTTCCCATTTTGGTATGAATGCAAAATCGTAGTTTTTGTGGAAATTAAATACATTTCATAAAACATGTGTTTTGTTTTAAGAAGCCACTTATTTAAAAGAAGCTGATGTGACATATAGTTTTGTATGGTTATTGAAAAGGTTCATGTGGTATGACAGTGAGGGCAAGTACGAGTATTCCTGCTGCTGTAGAACTTTTAAAGAGATAGTCAGTGCTCAGTAAGCATGAAAGCAGAAAGGGAGGAAAACCAATCAATGGAAAGTCAAATTGGTTACTTGTAACTGCAATTCTTGGAGTAATCACATGCATATAGGAGTCCTATTTGTGCACTGAGCGTCACTGTGAATGGTCTAAAGGTGAGCAATGTTTTGGCAGAAGCTTGTCCTGCTGTATATCTCCTAAGGGCATGGTTCCTGCCACTGTGGCTCAGTTCTAAGCTTCTTGTTGTTTAGTCAAGTCGTGTCCGACTCTTTGTGACCCCATGGATCAGAGCACGCCAGGCCCTCCTGTGTTCCACTGCATCCCGGAGCTGGGTCAAATTCATGTTGGTAGCTTCGATGACACTGTCCAACCCTCTCATCCTCTCTTGTCCCCTTCTCCTCTTGCCTTCACTCTTTCCCAACATCAGGGTCTTTTCCAGGGAGTCTTCTCATGAGATGGCCAAAGCATTGGAGCCTCAGCTTCAGGATCTGTCCTTCCAGTGAGCACTCGGGGTTGATTTCCTTCAAAATTGATAGGTTTGTTCTTGCAGTCCAGGGCACTCAACAGTCTCCTCCAGGTCCACAATTCATAAGCATCAGTTCTTCGGTGGTCAGCCTTCTTTATGCTCCAACTCTCACTTCCATACATCACTACTGCAAAAACCATAGCTTTGACTATATGGACCTTTGTCGGCAATGTGATGTCTCTGCTTTTTAAGATGCTGTCAAGGTTTGTCATCACTTTCATCCCAAGAAGCAGGTGTCTTTTAATTTCATGGCTGCTGTCACCATCTGCAGTGATCATGGTGAGTGGCAAGCATCCTTATCTGAGCAAGGCAGGTGTCACATCACAAGTGATGAAAGGACACATTTTCCCATTGCAGCATCTGCTGTATGTCTGTAGCCAGCCTTTCATATTGAATGAATAAGGAAGGCTGGGCCTAGGTGGCCACTCTGGATAGACCTGAAATAGGAATCTCTTTAAATTGAGGCAGCCACCAGCCAACTAGAATATCTACAAAGGGTGGTAGGTTGTGAATGTGCTGACAGTAGGACAAACCTCTATTGAGGACACAAGGATGGATTGGTCTTTGACAAGGTACATCATAATGGAAACCTAGAGTCTACAGGATTAGTGATATGATGCAATTTGGTCCACAAAGTCTTCTGAACAGCTAGGGAATGTCAGGCTACAGCAAATAAAGGTTTTGATACCCTGCATCATGGAGAAGGATGCAATTAGTGATTTTTGGGCAAAGTGCCACTTTCTGTGAAAGTAGGAGAAGCTGGTCAACGAGGCAGAGCTCACTAATTCTCCCAGCAGATGTAACTGCTCTGAACAAGATCATTTCCATGTCAAGAAGTATAAGTCACGTGTTAGTAGTGATTCAAAAAATTCAACTGTCTGTTGTCAAGAATACAAAGAAGCCTTCATGTCAACAGGAGAGCAGGACTAAGAAGGTAGGTGGTGAGGCCTATGAATCTGAAGTAAGGAGAAACAGGAAATGTATCAAGATAAGTCTATTGTCAGCCCTTATCTTTTCCTTCTCCTTTGTCAAAAAGTGGGAAGGGACAGAAGGCATCCACTAGTGATGTGTAGAGTCTTCGTCTTACAATAACAGAGCGATATGTGCTCTCATGGCATGAAACGCCTGTGGAATATTACATGCCAATTCCGATAGCAGATTGCAGTTAGGGACATCTAGGAGCCTGTGGTTTTCTAAGGTTGTGGATTAAAGTTTAGTATTGTCACTGAGTAGCTCTCAACCAGCTCCTTTATTTTTATTAAATCCCATCATGTCTGTTGCTGCTTAAACTATGTAGCATTGCCTCACATATGTGAAAAACTTTCATGACCATTGGAAATTTTCAGTGTGTTGCTGAGGATCAGCTTTTCTATCTTCAGCCAATAGTATGAACATTGAGGTGACTACAGTGGCTCTTAAGATCTCTTGAGAGAAGCATGGTGGAAGATAAGAAATGCCTTTAAACAGATTGTGTGTGTGTGTGGTGAGTGTGAGCCAGTAAATTAAAAAAAAAATCTTATACGAGGAAAAAGCAGCAACCATTTCTGGCCTGCATGCATTCTGAGGTAAGCAAAAAGTGTGAGCTTTTTTCCCACAAAGCCAAGAAAATGCTGGAATGAACTGAAAAAAGTACTTGCTTCCCATCCTAATGAGAACAATTGTGTTGTCAGTATCTTAGGCCAAGCATCAAGTAACTTGAGTATACTAGAAAGGAGAGAACTGGTTGTCCACAATGCCTTTAGTTCATGATCTTCCAAACAGGCAAAGTGTAGTATGAAGACTGCAGTGCAATACATACAATAGGAAGCAACAAACAGATGCTTGATGTGTAGGAATATACCCACATCTAGCAACCTCATGAGCAAATTGATGGTTGAAATCTGGAACTTAGTCATTTCTGTCCAAGTGCAGAAGAAAAGGGAAAAGTGGTCAGTAACTGGTGATGGGAGAACAATGATTGGCCTACCCTACCAGAAAGTCAAAGATGAGGTCCCAAGGAGCCATGTTGCACTGAAAAGTACACTATTGCTAGAACATAAAAATCAGCATTTGAAAATGAGCATTTGAAAATGAGAAGATAGAAAAAAGAACAAACTATAACCAAGAGAAACAAAGGAATCCTAGTTAGTTTGCAGAGTCTCCAAATGGGTCATCCAGAGAAAGTGGTCCTCATGATGCTGCAAGAAATGAAAAGGAACTGGGAGGCAACCGCAGAGGCCACTCTTACTTTTCCAGGAGTAGGAAGCTGTTAAAATTTTGCTCAGTTTTAGAATGAGTAATCCTGCACAGGGAACAAACTGGCCTTGGTTAATCATAGACACTGAAGAATAATAAAATTCTCCCAATGATGAGCAGATGACTGAGCAAAAAATATGTTGCATCCTTTGAAGCATGCTTAGTAGGCTTCAGAAATCTGCAGGGAGTAAGCTTTCCCATGCTATGATACCCTTTGCACAGGCTCAGCATCTATAAATAGAAATATTGAACCTATAAAGGAATAGCTATTTCTGAGGGTGCAAAACAGTAGAAGACACTCTGGTATTGTTTCCAAGATTTATACAAGCATAACTCCAACTGTGGAACCTGGTGCAGCCATCTGATGAATGCCAATCATGCCTGGTCATGAGACTGGCAGTGCATGAGATCACTGCAGCAGCTTCCAGAGCTGGAACTCTGGGGATGTGTAAATATATTGAACATGATACTTGCCTACAGGTTTTATAACCCCCCCCCCCTAATCTTTGCTGTTTGTTTTTAACAAGACATAAAGGAGTATTCTTGCATATATTAGGCCCTTTGGACAATTGTTTGCCATTTTCAAGGCACCTTTTTGCCTATATATTAGAAAGGAAGGGACGTTTGAATTGAAGAGATGTGTTTCTCATTTGGGAAATTCAGATCTAATTTCTTGCATCAAAACATACAAATGGAAGTCCCCCAGTTAACAAGTTCTCAAATAGCAGTGCTAACCAACATGTTCAATATTTTGGCAAATGCTTGGTGCTGGGCTATAAAGAGGAGTAGTTTGAAAATAAGGCAACTTCATAAGGCAACAATACAACTCATCCAGAAGCATTTCAACTACTAAATACTATTGGTTCTTTGCCAGGAGTAGATGAGCAGAGCAAAGCAAAGCAACAATTTCGCCCCAGCCGGGGGCAGGAGGCAAATGCTTTTTTTATGTAAGAGTGGTAGGCAGACTCTGGCTCTGATAAATGGATGGGCCATACTTAGTGAAGGTGGTTCTGTCTGGTTTCTGGGGATTACTTCCCCAGCCCGATAAATTCACCAGGGTTCCCCAACCATTTGCCTAACACAATTAAGAGCTTTGTTGTGGGAAAGAGAAGGTACAGAAGCCTGTTTCTCCCCATCCACTTTGATGTGCCAAAATCTAGATCCTATGCATAGCACACTTAGCTTTCTTTAAAAGGCAAATAAATCAAACTCAGATTTTGAGAAACTTAGTTTGTGGCTTTTCACTGCACTCAGAAAGCAGCACTATTAGTTGCCAAACTCAGTAAATAAAATTTCCAGTAATTGAGAATTTAATAAATGTTTGTTACTGTTTCAAGCATATACAGAAGCTTCCATATCCCAGAACACTTTAAGATCACTTACATGAATTCATGGTTAAAAAAATATGTTACAGGTATCTTTATGTCCATATATGACTAATAACTTTCCCTCTTCCATAGCCCAGTCTTGCTCTCATCTTTTGGTCTAGTAAATTTTGTTTTGACAGTTGTCATAGACTTCAGATTGTATGAAAACTGTCTAAATTTCCCGGTGTTCTCCAGTAGGCAGAGGTACTGCAGTTCACTTTCTGAAAAACAAATACAAACTTGTTAGTGTGTTTGGCCAATGACTGATCAAAATATTTGATGCTTTTCTTGTTCATCAATCAGCCATTTAAAATTCTGCCTTGTTCAAGTGGTTAATCTTGGATGACAAGTCAAAGATATCTTCATCACCACCACCATCACTGTAAGATAAACTACCAGCATCACCACACAGGTATAGATTTCTATACATAATGTTCAAAAAAGTAACTTTGGCAAGTTCCGGCTGCATCTATCACTAGTAACTGATACAATTTAGTTATTCAGGCCAATCTGACTGCAACCCTAAACTTTACTATTAGAAATGATGGACAACTTTGGTTATACCATAACAAGCCGATTTATGAACAACGTTTAAAACATTTCTGTAACTTCTGGTAATAAAAACAGCTAGTGTAGAATTTATCACACATGGATTTATTAATATTTAGCAAAGGAAAAGGTGTGAAAAAGGAGCAGGCAAGAAATCTATCTGTTCATAACCAAATGCTAGCATATACCTGCAACTCCTCATTTTCATCAATATTATGGATAGTTCATATAAAGACATGCATGCCTATGCCACCGTCTCAAGTGCTTAAATCAATAAAACATATGGGAAGCAATAGGAGCTCCAGGGAAGAGGTGTTGGATTGGGCTGACAAACTTCTCTATCAGAAACTGCAGGCCACGTTGCAACTCACCTAGTGAATATCTTGCACAAGTATCCTATACTCATGCTAAGTGTGCTTCCAAAAAATGGGCACAGAATCTAGAGCACTATTGCTAAGGCATTTAAAAATGAGTGGCTTTTGTCTTTCACTGTATATCTTCACCTTGGCTCCCTAGATGCTGTTGGGACTCCCCGTGCTCTGATCTGATGGGCATGATGGAGTGAATGCCCCTTGGTGTTTTTTCAGCAATGTGTTTGAGCGTGAGCTGGAGAAGCTGCCATGAATTCAATCAGTTAACAGTTGCTCACCTCCTCAGTTGAGTGATATCCTCTATGGACTTTGAGATCTTTAGTCTGACCTGTATTCTACAGCAGTAGCCATGGATTTACATTCCCCAAGTGTTGAAAATCACCTGGATACTGCGGGCTTAATGCATTTCCAGAACTACTGAGCAACCTCTGATGGTTGTAATACTGATGCAATGATAATCGCAATACAGATGCAAACACTTATGTAGTCATGTACTTATCTTTTCCCAAGAGGATTCATATGATATTGTGAATTTCTTTTTTTTTTTTTGTAAAGCAAGTATTTTATAAGGCTTTTTTTTAAAAAAAAACTTTTATTAGGAATCAGTATGGAAAAGCATAGAAATTATTGCTGTCAATTACCACCGCGCACAAACTTTAATGCCATGTAAACTAGCCCACAATCCCTTGTGTTGTCCTTGCTTTTAACTTAGCCTGCATGTATCCAAACTTTCCCTTGATTTTTGAATGATGGAAAGTGACAGATTTCAACTAATAGAGAAACTGATGTCAAAAGTAAAATTAAAATCATATACATATCTACTCAGGAATAAGCAGCACCATAGGACTGACTTCCAGGTATGTAATTGACAGGGACAACAGTCTAAGCAACATGTCATGGAATTTATGCTCATGTTTGTATTTCTTGGTAGCTTTCTAATATAATGTATGCACAAAATACAAAGGGCGAAGAAAAAAACCTAAATTTAAATTTTTTAAAAGCATGAGTTAAAAGCTATTTCAGTCTCTCCTAATAAAATCAGTAGGACCTGAAAGTAGTGAATTTTAGTAGGATCACAATATACACTACATTTTCTTCGCAAATCGGCTTCATATATATGCTGCAGAAAACGTGAGCATGTGAACTACAGTGGCTACATCAAATAGAGGACAATCACCGACTAGGAACAGCATGTCAGAGCTTGAAACCTATCTCACCTGTTTTAAAGCAGGTTCACAACATCCTGTTTTACATTTGTGTTTTTTCAGCTTAATTGTTTAATTATTAGGAAGGGTACACTTTTAAAGCATTTATTTTAAAAATTCAGGGGGACTGATAAAGCAGGAAACATAATTTAATATGGTTGCATGGTATTTCATAAGGATGGGACTTTCACTGAGAAACAAAACAAATGAAAAGAAGCATGAAAGAGACTCCTTGTATAGTTTTCATAGTTTATCATTGGATTCTAAAAAGCAGCCTCTTAACCATGAATGTTTCCTTCAAATAAAAGAGGGGTAAACATATACAAAAAAAATTCATTTTAAATTCTCTTCTATAATTTCTCTTTTTACCCATTATCTGACTCAAATTACCGAGGAAATATTATCTAATAGCATCATAAGAGGGGCTGTCAGCAGCCAGCCAGAATGTTAATGCTTAAAGGAATACTTCAGGGACAAGAGTGTGAGAAAGCTCTCATTTTCTCCCTCATGAGTGAGCTTATTTAGTCATCCCCCCTCCCCTGCCAACGCTTTCCCCATTACCTTGGAGGAGACTTCCCAGCCAGCAGCCCATTCTCCCTTGCTCCCAACTGGTCATTTCTATCTAATCTTTTGCTGCTCCAGATAATTACTCACTGACCCGCTATTGAGCTGATGATGCCAGCTAGTCAGCAAGGCTCTCTTAGAGGGTAAGCCAGCAGAATTGTTAGGAGAAGCTGATGTTCCTGTGGGTTGAGTCTGGGAGCTTTGCTTGATTTTTTAAAAAATGTCAAAAGGGGGCAAACCTCTGCTGCTAGCTAGCATTGTCTTGTTTTGCTTCTAGTCCTCATATGCTTGTGTGCAAAAGCAGCCAACTAGAGATGGGCACAAACCTTGGTTCAGAGGTTCATGCCGGTTTGTTGGATTGGCACCATAGATTCTGTGTGTTCCCCACCCCACCCCCAGCCAGATCCCCTACTCACTAGCCAGCTGCTATCCTCCTCTTCTTCAGGTGTTCAACCACTTCCAGCAGGAGCAAGTGCTTCCCTCTTCTGCCTCCTCTGACAACTGCATACACAGATGAGGAAGTGGAGTAGAGATTCTTGCAGTGCCACCTTTGAGTGGGCGGCTGCTGGAGGAGGCAGAAGAGGAAAGCAGTCACTTCTCCTGGGACTGGTCAAATGCTCCAAAGAGGAGAAGAGCAGCACATGCCGGCTGGTGAGTGGGGAATCCAGCTGAGGAGGTGGGGGAAGGGAACACATGGCACTTATGGTGCCGGTCTGATGAACCAGCAAGAACCACCAAACTGAAGTTTGTGCCCATCTCTACAGCCAATCAAGAAGCCCAAGACACACGAGTGCTTACAAGACTGTGACAGGAAGGCATAAACCTAGCTGCACATCCTATAGAGCTGGGCTAATGATGAAAACTTGACACTTAATAATGAATTCTGACAAAAAGGGAGGGAAACCTCCTAAAAGGCCTTGTTCATGAAAAAATAATAATAGAGGAGCTTGCCCCAACAAAATGAACCAAAAACGAAACAATAGTTTTTAATGTGTTTGTCCCTACTATTTCACTTTCTGATCAAGAACAAGCAGACACTTCACCACTTCCACTTCTCTGTGTTTTTAGTTATACCTTAGTTATGAAGTTCCTCTAAAACTTCATTTACTCTTGTGAGAACACTTACATCTAAACATACAGTACTGTGTGCACCCTAGAAATACAAGCTTTAAGTCATACTTTTCAGGAATACCTCAGGAGTTTTAGGTTCATGGATCTAGTACTAATGCATGTCATATGACTTTCCAAGGACCTTCCAGCGGCATGAATAAAAATTGAAATCTCCAGCTGTCACCAGAGTATCATACTAGCACGCTTGCTAGACCTTTGCTGTCAAACATGTTGGCTGCTGAACTTTAGCAATTAATTTAGCAATTAGTGTCAGGTTTTGTAAAAGAAAAACAGTTTATTTTCCGCATATTTTTATGCTGACCACATATTGTTAACACATCAAACATGGGTAGGACAAAAAACTTTAATCAGAGAATCAGGGCCTGCATGGGGACAGACAATGTCCAATGTAATGAGAACGACAACACGCTGGGAAACTACAGTTGTGATCTTTAGTAGATGTGTTATATAGGAAAGGAGTAGGAATACTCTAAAGCAAAGCAATGCAGCTTGATTTAGCAAGAGAACTGCTGCTTTTAGAGGTTTATAGCATCTGAAATTCTCTCTATTTTTGCATGGAAACATGCATACGGTATATATTCAAGTGGTAATAGATCCAGAATCTACAGAAGTAAGTGAGAGCCACATGCCCATGATTTAGGCAATAATGGATATTGTTATGGTCTCTTATGCTGTGGGCAGTTTCAGTTTCTTCACTATCTTACAGGAATGCAGAGCTGTGTACAGAAGGCTCAGTTGCACAAATTCTATGCCAATATTCCAGGAAGTGAACAAATCTAGGAGGTAGCTATCCCTGACAACCTATGAGCTTCCAGGTTAGGCTAGGGGGTACCAGCTTTATCCTTTTTGTTTTGTTTTGTTTTTTAACCAATTAAGGGATGAACCTTTGCAGCTGCAATCTTCTGGAGTCTAAGAAAACTTAGCACATTATGTTAAAGCAATTTTGTTTCTAATTTAATTTGATTGTATTATTGATTGCAGTTTTAGTATAACTTCTAGGGCCTACACACGGAGCAGCATAAATCCTCGAGGTCTGTAGATTTGATAGCAAAGATGGATTCTTTCCATTCTTATTGGAATCTCTCTGCTGACTTGTGCTTCTATCTTCCGCAACCAACTGGTTGTCGGCATGAACTAAGAAATAGGGATAGGACTTATGTTTGAAAAATTAAATTGGGGAATCCACAAAAGAGGCTTTTACTTTCACTTTCTGGTTCTTTTGTAGATTCCTGAAACAGAGCCTCTTAAACATGAGGGTTTCATTTAAATGAAAGAGGTGTGCATAAAAATATGATTTTTCATGTTTCCTCCTTTCATTAAACTTGTCCTTCACTCTTTTTATGTCAAATCACCCAGAAAATTATTTAGTCAATCAGAATGATCAGAGGAAAGTGAGAATTTTAAAGGTTTAAGGGGCCATGTATTGGCTAGAATACAGTGTTGTGGAGTGCTGCTCTTTATGTTCACTGTGCTGCCTACTAGGGATGTGCATGGCAAAAGCCTTCATGAGCCAAAGAAAAGTGGGTAGAAATGGAGTGGTCTGCCTCTTAATCTTTTAACTCTTCCCTCTCCCACCGTGCCTACAGGTGGCAGAGTGGAGAGCAAAAAGAGATGGAGGTAGAAGCAGAGCAGACTTTGCCTTTTCTTTTAACTCTTGAAAATACTTTTCCTGCTCCTATGGTAGGCGGGGTGGGGGAGGAGGAGGAGGTAGGGGTGGTCTTTGTCTTTTATATGTTGAACTCTTTCCTTCTTTGATCACACTTGATGCCTGTTTTCTTTTCTGTTCCAGCACTCTTAATAATAATTTATTGTCATTGTAAGTATATACACATACAACGAAATTCACAAAGTATATACTCTTAAAAGTATAAGAAGTATTTTATGTAGTTTTTAAACCAGTTCTTAAGGGTTTTTTACACCTTGAATTACACATTTACGTACATATATCCATGGAGTGAAGGAAAGCAGTAAAAGACGAAAACCACGATATAGTTTCGGCACATTCAGTAAGTTGCACCTCTTTTACCTGTTGTGATTTTTGAGGCAACAAAGTGCTTTTGAAAATCCCCCTAAGATTCCACTCACTTCCCACCTCCTATCTCTTAACAACAGCCTATCTGCAACAGATGAAATGTATGCCCCAAACCCAGTACCCAGTACTAACCCAGTAGTTAGTCCCAGCAAGAATATAACCATTGAACTAAGTGCTGAATGTTGATTCTTTTGATGATTCAATAATGCTAGGACAAGCAACTGGATTTAGGCCCATGATTGAAACCTTTCAGAGATAACAGTGGGTATCACCAAGTTCACTGCGCAGCAAATCAGATTTGGATCGTGATATCCCAAAGCCAAAGAAGAATGAGACCAATGCTTTCTGGATCAATACTGGTCTCATTCTAAATGGTTTTGCTGCCTTCCATAGCACCCTTGTGTGCACTATAAACACCACTGAAAAGGGCTCGCTTTGTGCTGCCAGCTCTAATTTTTATTATTTAAAAGAGTCAGTACAAAGGTCTAAACTGTACCTGGTAACATCTGTAGTTCACGAACTTTATGTTTTGAAGAAGGAGGCCTCACTGGACAATGCACTCTTCCTTCTTGGGAGCAACCTGTAAAAATAAATTGTCAAAACTTGCATATGAACAGGTATACCTGTTGGAAGAGACTCCTATAAATCTGCTAGTCCAACTCCTTAATAATGCAGAAAGTGAACAATTGAAACATAGTTGACAGGTGGCAATACAACCCAGAGCTTAAAACAGCAGATTTCAAAATTAATTAGCTGACATGAAAAATTACAAAATTGGGAAACTGCATTTATTGTTTAAACTGAACATATTTAATTCATTAAAATAATACTATTAATGTACTAATTAAAATATTAATATTAATAACATGATTAGTAATTATTCAAGAGAGGGTTTTTCTGTGGCAGCTCCCAAATTACGGGATTCTCTTCTTCCTCGAGAGGTTCGGCTGGTTCTTATCTCCTTATGCTGGCAATTGAAAACCTCTTTAAAGAGACTTCTGGGGAGTCAGTGGGCAATTGAGACAAGGAGTGGTTTTATAATCTCTTCTGTCACTTTTATACAATATTTCTTATTTGTATTTTATAATTTAAACGTTAAGACAAGAGGGTCTGGCATGCTCTGGTCCATGGGGTCACGAAGAGTCAGACACGACTAAACAACAACAAAAAAGTATGCTTTTAATAATTTGTGGATTACAAATATTTTCTTGAAATCTGCCATAACCTGTACTCTGGGATTTTTCTAATGGTGAATTATTCTTGAGCATTGATACGGCTGCTTTCAGGAAGTTTCAAATTGCTTATAATTGGGACCACTGACTGTCAAAACCCATTCTTTTACCTATGGATCTCTTCTTGCAGAGAGTCTCCATGGCTTCATCAGTTTTATTATTGAACAGACCTCCTCTGTTGAACTGTAAGTGCTCCATTCATGATTGTGTGCCCTCTAATCTAATAGACTCATAGATCTAAACCACACATGTCTTTTCACTGATATTTCTGCAACCGTGCATTTAGCAGAACAATATGCTACATGTCTGGCAGACTGAATTTATTGAGCTCCCAGTTTGTATGCCTCTTAGAAGGCTAAGGCAATCACTTCCTTTCTTCTGATAAGCTGGCCAACGGGGACAGTAAACTTTGCCGTATAAATGGTTGATATGCTACCACAATAGCTTAGTAGTTGGTGACCTATATCCCTAAGACTGCTGTGAGATACATACATCAACCCATGAGATCTGATATACTTCCCTCACAATTTACAAGCATAAAGTGTAATCCACCCTTTGTTTTTGCTTATGTTGCTTCTACTATTATTGAGTTGGTGAAGGGAATTCAAACCTTGTTCCTGAACTGTATAAAAATTGTCAACATGGCACAAAGCAGGTGGAATTGGGGCAGGTTTAGTCCATGATTGCTTCATCAGTTCTGTTAGAATTTGCAGGAAAGGTATCTGCAGTAGTGATGATGAAACTTGCTGCATGCTACTGAAAATGGGATAAGCAATAGGTTGCAATGTTTTTTAAACTTCCAATTTTAAAGATATAGCCATCTAAAGCATTACATCAGAATATGAGTGTATGTCTTCTGATGTGATTATGGGGTGCAGTCACCTCTTTGTATGCCTGGAGAGGATATGGAAGGTGATGGTGAACAAGGGAAAGAATAGTGGTCTTCCTCCAAAGCTAATGATTCCACCTGTTCCTGCAAATGCAGTACAAGGTCTTGCATAATTTCTGAGCATTGTGATGGTTATGGCTTTCGTATTGAAGGCACCATTGGATCCAAAAGGGATATTATGGACTTGAAAGTGGAACTATATTTGATAATGCCTGAACCAATGCTGTTAGCAATGGTGTAGTTGTTGGGTAATGCAGTGGTGCCTCGCAAGACGGGCGCTCCGTTTAATGACGAATCTGCATTACAACGAGGTTTTTGCGATCACAAAAGCGATCGCAAAACAACATTTTGAATGGGTGAATTTCGCTACGCGATGATCGGTTCCCTGTTGCAGGAACCAATTTTCACTTCTCGATGATCAAAACAGCTGATCGTCGGGGTTTCAAAATGGGCACCGGGTGCTCAAAATGGCTCCCCGCTGTGTTTAGGAGCCATTTTTCGCTGCACAGGCACCCGAAAATGGCCCCCCCTATGGAGGATCATTGCTGGAAGGTGAGTTCTTAGCCGATTGGAACGCATTAACCAGGTTTTAATGCGTTTCAATGGCTTTTTAATTTTCGCTTTACGACGTTTTCGTTCTACAGCGATTTCGCTGGAACAAATTAACGTCGTAATGTGAGGCACCACTGTAGATGGAATTGATAGTTGATGCTGTGGTAGTGATGGCATAAACATGTTGCTGGTTGTAAAACCATATTCAGAATGGCACATCACATCATAATTTATACATGGCGATAATAATGGCTTTTAAATCATTGCCTCTGGCCACTGGTGTGGAAATTCTTGATATTATTTTTTTGGCACAAAATATCATGTAAGCTGTATCTCGAAGTACATGCTCTGGATTGTTTAGGAACTCAAGAGTACTTTCAGTGAGGTGTTTGACTATAACTTTTATAGTGTCTAGGACTTGACTCTCCCTGTGTCCAACTATTTCCCCTTGATACTCTGGAGATGGCCAATCATAAACCACATAAAATATGGCAGTATACAGTATCATGATAAATAGGGTGAATATTCCCTCCATTATCGTGAGTCTCAAGTTGAAGAACAGAAATTACATTCATGGCATGGAGATCTTGAACCTAAGTTTGAGTATTACATATCAGAATGCCATCTGTGTCTCAATGTGCAGCAAATATTCTTGTGGCTTTGGGGATTCTTGATATCAATAGCTTGGTTTCAATGCCCCTTCCAGCTGTTGTGAAGATCATGACTTATTGTGGTGAAATGAACCCTTGAGTTTTCTCTCCATAAAGTAAGCTACACAGCCACCTTGTCTTCTGTGATGTTTCGAGTCACAATTCGAGCACAAGGTGAAGGTGCATTCTGTGTAGCCAGAAGCTGCATCACCTTTTATGGTAGGGTTGTCTTTGAAGATATATTTTCTTTTATTTTGTCTGAGCATTCTGGCAAGTGAAACAGGTACTAATGAGTTTGTCAATATCAGTATAATCACAGGACTATACAGTATCTGGAACCAGAATAGCCTGTTGATTCCTATGAAAGAGTTTGTATTGTGGACTGCAGAGAGGCCATTATTGCTTGATTTCGGAATGCTGGAAATCACAGAACTTGCTGTGTAAGGATTTTCCCCCCTACAAATTGAAAGGCTTATAAGGACTTCTCCCACAGACAGTTTTAATTGTGACAGCTTGTTACAATGGGCCATCTGGTTAAATGTTGGCAGAAATTGCATTGCTGAGCAGACTGCCCTTCTCACAAGCAAAAAAGGCACTTTAGAGTGTGTACCTGGATGAGAGATTTTCCCTCCACAGAACACACACTTCTTAAGTAAGACCACAGAAACCTTACAAAACTGCAGTGATACAAATGATAGTTACAGTATTCATTTTTTTAAAGTGGAGATGAGAACAAACATTTTTTTTTCAGAATGTAAGGAGAAGATAAGGTGTTTTAAGGTGATAACATTAGTTTTAATGAAAAGCAGTATGAACACTTTGTTTAACTGCTTCTTGAAGAGTGGATAAAAAGGAGCTGAGGTAAACTATTAGGTAGGGGTTGAGCATGCTCAGATGGGAAGGGGAAGAACAAATGATAAAGCTGTAGAGCTTGAGAATATTCTGAATGCTGCTCTGTGCAAGTGCAGAACTTATAAGTGTGAGTCAGAGAAACCATGAAGAACTGCCTATAGCAGTGACAGCGAACCTTTTTGGGCTCGAGTGCTGAAACTGGGGAAAAACAAACCAACCAGCCAGCGGATGGCGGTGGAAGCGGAAGTGGAGGAACTGGAAGTGGTGGCAGAAGGGGGAATCCCGGGCATGGAGGTGCCTCGAGACCCTAGTCCGGATCCGCAGCCAGCGCCAGCTGCTCTGGATCCTGGCCCGCCGCCTGTTGGAGCGCCAGCATTGTGGCTGTAGTCGTCTTCTCAGGTTTGGCTGCCGGGGGGGGGGAACGATCTGGCAACGTATGTCTTGCGTGCCCACAGAGAGGGCTCTGCGTGCCAGCTGTGGCACATGTGCCATAGATTCCCCATTGCTGGCCTACAGCAAATATCTTCCCCATACAACTTACCTTCACTACACTACTTGTCCCTAGTTCTTGGATTCTGCTAGTATTGTTCTGTTTGGAGTGTCTGAAAGCTTCCTCCAATGCATTTTTGTGCACTTCTGATAGCATGCTGTGAAATCATTGCTGCTTGCAACAACCATATAATTCCTGATCTATAAGGTAGATACACAGTGGAATTTGGCAAAATTTAGTGCTATTGTATGTAATGGTTGGGTTCTAACCATGACCACAATGAAATGAAATTATATACAGTGGTGCCTCGCATAGCAAGCGCTTCGCTATGCGATGAAACCGCACAACAAGGGGTCCTGGGCCATCGCTGAAGCGTTCGCTCAGCGATGGCCCCTATGGGCTTTTTTCGCTATGCGATGATCGCGCGGACGTGATCAAAGCATAGCGAACAGCTGATCGGTGGTTCCAAAATGGCCGCCGCTGAAACAAAATGGCGACTGCTGTTTTGCCTCGCTAACGAGGCATCCAAAATGGCCGCCGCAATGGAGGAAACTCGCAGAACGATGAGTTTTAAGCCCATAGGAACGCATTAAATTAAACGTATGGGCTTTTTAATTTCACTTAGCGATGGATTCCCTGAGCGAGGGTTAATTCGGAATGGATTAACCTCGCTAAGCGAGGCACCACTGTAATTTATTAAAAAATATTTATTTCAAAATGTATCAGGAAATATGTTTGAGGCTGAGAATTAAACCAAACACTACAAACTAACCCCAACCCCCCTTCACATCTCCCCCCCTCCTAAAACGGATGATCAACTTTCAATTTTCACAAACTTTCTTTCTTCATTTAAAAAAAAAGGGAGGGTGTTTTCCACAGACAAGAAAATCAAAAAGAGTGTCCTATATAGTGTGTAGCAGTTAATTATGATTAAAATGCAAATATAGACATTAGCCAAAATCCTGTTGCTTGGCAAAGTAAATTGCACTACAGTAGGTTCACTGAATCATTGAACATTTGTTAAGTCAACTTCTTCATAAATTCTGTCCACTCAAATGAGCCCAGTCTAATTGTGATTTACTTTAGCACAGTAACTTACAGTTAGAGTAGGCCTAATTGAATCAATGGTATTTAAGGAGACGTTTACTCACTAAATCTCCATTGATTTGGTGGGACACCTCTAATGCAATTTACTACACGAAGCAACAAGATTTTGGCCACTATCTAGTTCTATGAAAATTTCATCCTAGCTTATCTGATAACGGTGAGTCAAAAGGCAACATTTAAGTCACTATGCACAACCTCAATTCTATATCTACTTAACATAAGAACATAAGAAGAGCCCTGCTAGATCAGGGCAAGGGTCCGTCTAGTCCAGCTTCCTATATCTCACAGTGGCCCCACCAGATGCCTCTGGAAGCACATGAGACAACTGGAGACCTGTCTCCTGATCCCCCTCTCCTGCATCTGGCATCTTGAAGTACCTTCCTTTTAAGCCTGGAGATTTTACATCCCCATCATGGCTTGCAACCTGAGATGGATGTTTCCTCCAGAAATCTGTCCAATCCCCTTACAGTCCAGTCAATATCATTAATCATCACTATATTCTTATATTCTGTATTTTCTTCTGATAAAGGTCCTAATGCTAAGGTAATCACAGGCAGTTACTATTTTTTGGATAACATTTTTAGAATAACCAGAGCAATAAATGTTGGAGGATTTTAAGTGTGTGCATATATTTTCAAATACAGTGGGGTCTCTACTTAAGAACTTAATCCGTATTGGAAGGTGGTTCTCAAGTTGAAAAGTTCTTATGTTGAATCTGCATTTCCCATAGGAATGCATTGAAAACCATTTAATCCGTATCTGCTCTTTTCCGTCCATAGAAACTACAGTGGAACCTCTACTTAAGAACTTAATCCGTTTTGGAATGGTGTTTTTAAGTTGAAACGTTCTTAAGTTGAAGCAAAATTTCCCATAGGAATGGACTGAAAACCAATTAATCCGTTCTGGCTGTTTTTTTGTTATGTAGAGGTGCGTTCGTACATTGACCAAAGCTGGTTAATACGTACTCTACCACTAGGGGGAGAATTTTTTTTTAACCTAAGATGACCTAAGGTTAAAAAAAGAGCAGGAAAGGTTTTTTTTCCTGTTCTTATCTTGGATTTCTGTTCTCAAGTAGAAGCAAAATTTAGCAAATGGAGCTGTTCTTAAGTTGGACTGTTCTTAAGTAGGGACGTTCTTAAGTAGAGACCCCACTGTACATTAACACTTTTACATCTGCATGAAGAACTGTATTTCTAATCCTGGTGGTTTGATGAAGGTACTTTTTTATACAAAACTTTTGAACACTTTTCAACCAGAAAGTATTAACAAATGAATACTTAACTTCCCAAAATAAGCACTGAACAATATGGATAATTACCATATATTTGCCTTAGGGTGGATGGCTTTTGTGTGGAGTTGACACCTGAGTTGCTTTTGTTCACTGACTTTATATTTTTGCTCGAGGTAACTGTTTTCAAGGGGTAAGGGTTCAACTGCTTGTTCCAAATAAACTTGATGCAAAAAGCAGCTGCTTCTTGTCGCCATTTGTCTTCATCTTCTTTGCACTGTCGCTTAAAACTAAAAAGCTGAAGGAACTGCCTTCTTAACTGGTAGCTGCAGGGAGAAAAGAAAGTGGAAGCCCATTTTAGTTGATCCTTTTCCAATTCCACAGTTCAGGATCTTCTCCTCACAGAATGCCAGATAAATTTGACTTAAGGTAAATTCTAGATACAACAATTAATTTGTTATATCTGTGTCTGAACTGCAATATCAGTATATTACATCAGAATGAAGTGGGAGGATGATAGCACTGGGATGAAGCCAAGTTAAGTGAATAAATGTTAATAATGTACATAGAATATGTCTCACCCAAATATATAAAGTCTCTCCATTATCTAAGAATACAAGAATTTAGAGCAACTAACAGCTGAAATTAGATATAAACAACAATTTATGTGTGTATATTAGATAGGTATACACATGTAGAATGTTTTGTTTTTTTAAAAAAATAAAATAGGCATGATGCAAATGATATACAAACTTTGAAGTGGAATTCAAGTGTTTGACTAAGAAAATTCACTTTTATGCCTTTCTAGTATATTCTACTTTGCTTTTCCTATGTTGCCAAAATCCATGTTTTTATATAAAATGGGAAGAAGCCCTCTCCAACCCTTGTAGTATTTGCCTTTGCCTGCGCCTGCCTGCCTACGTTTCCGCCTGTCCCTTGGTTGTTTCACCAAAACAAAGGCACAAGCAACGTGTCATTCAGCTGCCACTAGTTGATTCGTCGTTCGTTTGTTTAGTCATTTAGTCGTGTCCGACTCTTCGTGACCCCATGGACCAGAGCACGCCAGGCCCTCCTATCTTCCACTGCCTCCCAGATTTGGGTCAAATTCATGTTGGTTGCATTGCAGACACTGTCCAGCCATCTCATCCTCTGTCGTCCCCTTCTCCTCTTGCTGTCACACTTTCCTAACACCAAGGTCTTTTCCAAGGAGTCTTCTCTTCT